ATTCCTACTTTGCAGCTGAGCTTAACTTTGGCTAGGGGGAGCTTGCCCACAGGGCGCTGAAGGCATTTTATCCGCTAACCAACAAATTAGATACTCCGGCGCAGTTAGCCAAACACGAACGCAGACGCCGTGTGCTACGGCGGGTAGCAGACGCAGGAAATGTGCCCTCCTCTAGCAGTCCGTCGCAAGCCGAGACCCCACCTTCATCACTCTCTGGTCATCACACCATCTCAACTAGTCGAAATAACCCAGTAGATCTATTTGCGTTTCTCCGAGAAAATAATGGTGATCCCGCTGTCAAGGTATGGGTACTAATGCGTTTTTGATATTTTACTCATGGCGGTTTTCAGAATTTCATGCCGAAACTGAGGGATCACGTACTCTACAGGCTTCGAGGGCTAGATGTCGCCTACTGTGACCACACGTTCACTGATCAGGAGCATAATACAGTCATTATCCCCAACAACAGGATCTATTCGGTTCAGACTATGCAAGTTCACTATACCACTTACGACTTGAGGCGCGAATACGACACCATTAACCCCAGAAGCCATGGGGATATCATGGTGCTTTCAGGGGAGACTATGCCTAGCCACCCGTATTGGTATGCCCGGGTCTTGGGTATCTATCATATGGAGGTATGGCTTCAAGACCATGCTGGGGGTCAGCCTGCAAAACGCCACCTTGAAGTTCTCTGGGTCCGATGGCTTGCGGTGCTTCAGGACTGGAGTTTTGGCATGAAAAACGCTCGTTTACCCAAGACTGCATTTGTAGAGGAATCGGACCCTGATGCGTTCGGCTTCCTCGATCCTGGGCAAGTAATTCGAGGAGCGCATTTGATTCCTGCGTTTGCCTCGAAACATGGTGTAAGCTCCCTTCGCCATGGGAAATCGTTGGCACGTCCTGGGGGGCAGCTAGATGATTGGGAAGAGCATTATGTTGGAATGTAAGTGCGAATATATCTTCCCTGACACATTAATCCTCAAACTTCTGAACCAGATTTGTCGATCGGGATATGTTTATGCGCTACACTCACCTCGGTATCAGTCATTCAACTATGCTGCGGAGGATCTCCAGAGACTGTCTTGGCTCTGATTCGGTGACCCCAGACAATGTCATGGATATCATACCTGGCGGGCAAGATTTGGACGATGGCGACGGTTCTGATGGCGACAGCTTGGATGGATTTCATGAGGATGGCGAAAGCAGCGATGGCGAGGGTGATGAATGGTACGATGATGAGTTTACTGATGAGGAACAGGATGGTGGCGCCGGGGATGAAGGGGACGAGGATGAGGCTGACGAGTTTGATGAATTATCTTTCTGAACTTTTTCGAAACTTATCCTTCCAGTCACTAGGTCACTAGTTGCATCTCCAACATACCGCAGTTTCAGCACTAGAACCACCCTCCCCGACCCCTACGTCAGTGGAGGAGAGCCTTGTTTCGCTTGGCTCGACTGTGATATTTTGTGTATCATCGTTGATTGGTGAATACATTGTCGGTTTTTGGATGATGCTCGCTTTCATGCCTAGTTTCGACATCATGGCGCGCGATTCGAACATGGCGGTTAAAACCCATTAAATTTGCTTGTTCAAATCTGACATCAGCGCTTGCTCCACCTGCCCTTAGAATTTGAGTTTGAGTGATGCGAGGGTCTTTTCCCGACCACGAACTGGTGTTACAAGGTACAATCGATAACAGAATCATGTCGATGGGCTTGTGGTTACGGATTATATATTAGTATATGTCAAAAAGTATTCTAATTTGTTCACCAGTTCTTCTGATCTGAGTAACCCAGGCGCATCAGGGCCAGAGTCGGAGTCGGTTATGAATTGGGACGGACAACAGTGACAGTTGAGTCAGCTTTTTCGTTTGCAAGTGTATTACCTTGTTTGCTCCGTTTGTTATCGATCACATGGATGACTTGAGCGATTGAACCAACACAGTGCGCAACAACATTTCTGTAGGGTTGTCACAAATTTGTGAACACCTCCAAGTCATTATGATGTTCCTCAGCAAAGGACGTCGAAGGCGATTGCGGCAATGGCAATACTGCCGTCTGGGGAAGACTTGGAATGGAGACATCTGCCACACCTCATCGTCATGCATCCGCACTTGATGGCTGCAGATTTTTCTGTTGACAGCTGCTTCAGGCTAAACATCGAGTTATATCTACTACTGATAAACACTCAGGCTTACCAAGAATTCCAATCGTCTCTCTCAAGACCAGCCTCGTCTACCGACTGCCGTGTATTATGCCCGTTTTCCAGACTTCAACATTTGTCCTGTCTGTCAATGGTATCTCTGCGACGCCTCCAGGCTTTTGATGAGCTGTTACCTCTCGGCGATGGGCATGCGTTTTAGACAAGGACACTACAGGTGCGATATCAGCTTCCACTTCCTGCACTCATTTGGAAATGTGTTTTCATCGACAGACAATCACCGCACCTCATTCTCTCGAGATTAAAAATATATCGTCGACCCTTCAACTAAGGCGTTTAGCAGTCATTCAGCAAGAAATTCGACCCCAAACCTCATAAGGGTCAGTCGTCCGTTCAATTCAAATTTCGTGGCCGGTGCCTGAACTGATCTAAGCCAACAGGTAGTCATATGTATATACCCAAGACCATAGTTAGGAAGTTGCCAACCCGCAGTTCTACGAAAATTTTAGTTCCTCATCTGCAGGCAATCTGGCGCTTGATGACGATATATCATCTGTGCCACAGTTACTCTGAACCAATGAACATACCCTTCCTCCGATCCCATACACGATCCGTTTAACCTAGAGGCTCCCGCGTATATGTCCCCTCCGGATGTGAATAACTCTGTGTCTCAGATGTATGATAATATCGTGCACAGGACGTTATATTTGACTTTATCCGAAACGTGCAGAAGCATCATGCAGTGCTGCAGGAAACACGCCTGCAATCTCGTCGTGGATGGTTTCAGTTTACGTCTTCCTATATGGTCTGAAGGTTCCGAACGTGAGCACCACTGGTAATTCAACCATTGGCCTTCACCATCAATGATATAAGACCGTTTAATGTCCCTGTGTACGCACTTTGGTTTGGGGTATTTGTCACCTCAAGTTGATTGGTTATATAGGGCGTCTGCGGTAGACTATGTTGGACTCATCTACCTCCTGATTTTGGCGGTACGTTCACGACTTTAAAAGTTGATAGGGATATGTCTAATTCTCTCACATCTAGTTCGTGTTGACGGTACGACATTCACGATGGTTCCGGACAATGTTCATTAATATGGTGTGATGGTTAGAACCAACTTCTGGCGGCTCGCGTTGAATCAGGCTTTGAGAAGCGTTTGAGGTTGCGACCTCTCATCCTTATCCGCCTGCTATGGCCGGTCACTCTCTACTTCTTTGTCTCCGTATGGTGTTTTACTCATTTCCGGATGATCGACTGAAGTGTGTCATTTATAGCTAATGTACTCTCTCTTAAGTTTGGCGTTCGGAGTGCCATTTGGCAGGAAGTGAGTGTCATATTTTTTGATGTAGAATTGCGATCTGACCTTTGTATCTTTCTAAGATTTGGGCACGCAGGCTTTGTCATCTCCTGGATGATGTCGTGGTCTTGTACCACGTGTCCGGCAAAGGGAGTAGAGGATTCAGCGTGTTACTAGACGATATTGGACAGGCCAATCTTTTATGGTCCGCGTCTCGTCTGCAAAGTTAATCAGCCCCAGACCGAGCCCACAAAACAAACAAGCCCCTGCAGATCCTCAGCTGTTCCGCCTTCGTCAAAGTCTGGCGGACTGACAAGGAGCGTTTGGAACACGCGCGGATGGACGTTTCAGGAATGGAGAAAACAATGCGATATAAATAATTCAGTCACGAGTTATACATTCGAGGGCACTCCAATTTCTCGCTGAACCAAACTCCGGCAGATTAGACACGGCCTCGGATTCCAGTGGACGAAGGTTAGGGAAGAGTAATGCGGGAGGGAACCACACGGAATGTAGGACATATGCACCCCAACTTCACAACGGACTGAAAGTGCAATGCAGTACATCCTGCTCGCACATTATGCGCCGCATCCCCATTCCATCCCATTCCCGTTCCCATTACTACATCCCGTTCCCGTTCTCATTCCCGTTCCCACCACCATCAGCACACTGACTCCAGCATCAGCCGGGAGAGTGGAGTGAGTCTTCCAAGTCCAAAAATTGATACGAACGACAGCATTAGTTGGCCCACCGGCAAGCTCTCGTGCGGCCATCATAGCTTCCCACAGTTCTGAATCGGATCAAAACATCCACCCAGAAGTTCGGTTGATGGTGTAGTCCTGGTCGTCCAGCTGTAGATGCCTTTTCCGAGTCGAAACGCACAAGACGCAAGAACTTGTCGAATTCATTTGGTGTATAGCATGTCCGCTTGTGAGTTTTCACATACCTTCTGCGTAGAATCTCAGTGACATTGTGCCATGTGTGCTTGTTGGTGCTCGGTTTTTGGCATATGGCTATCGTATGTCACCACTCATGAGGATCTCTTACTGAAGATCAGAGATATCCACTAGTTTTGATGTCTGGCTTGAACCCCTTCGAGGATACAAATCACTCGGAGTTCATGGCGTTCGTCACGGCATATCTTCAGTGCTAGTTGTGTACGCGTTCCTCCAATTTTACGTTCTCGCGAGCGCACTCTGGGTATCCTGTGCTTGCGGCAGGGAATTTCTGGATACTCTCCGGTAAGTCATACCTATCATTACTTTACCTAACTTCTGACGAGTGCATCAGATCATCTCCCCCTACTATTCCTACCCCAAATAACCTTGCACCAAGAATGCGGAATGACCCAATCACAACTGCAGGGATTTTACGGGTTTCTTCTGAAGGCAATTTTTTTGTGTTTCCCTGCTTTATTCTTCAATTTGACCATGCCATTCAGAATTTCAGCGAAACGAATTCCTTGCCCGTGTTCAGAACAGACTGCCAGTAAGTATTTCAAGGGTCGATAATACACATTCTGAAGATGACATATGAAGAACCCGGATGCTGGACTCTGCGCATAACTTTGCTCTTGGATTTTTTTGTTACCCTCTGGAGGGTCAGTACCAACAAGAGATCATGATTGGAGCCAAAGGTGTAAGTCATTTGAACTACTCTAAGATACTCGATTGATAATATGAGCATGTCAGATCAACAATACTCTCGCCCCTTATCGATTTTGCCCCAATAATGACATTCCAAATATCGGCTACCGCGGCGCACCACTTACTGATGCATGGAATGCAGTGTATCTCAGGGATACCGTCCCTTGTTTGCAACGATATGTTGATGGGTTTGAATTGGATGTCCGAGATGTTTATGCCATGCAAGAATTGTGTGCCTACGAGACGGTCGCTCTTGGTTATTCCAAGTCCTGCGAACTCTTCACGGAGAAGGGTGGGAAGGCTTTGATTATTCGTAAGAAACCTCTTCTATACAGTTTGCACGCCGCTGATCTTAACCAGATCTGCCTTAGCGGTCCAGAATAGTGCTACTACCAGTACTGTTCCCTCTTCATATGCGGTCCCAGGAGTGTTCCCAACTTCTCTCTACCCTAATTACTACAATAATCCAACGGCCACCTCTGCGCAGCCACAGCCAGTCATTTCAGATCCCGTCACAGTAATTCTCTACTGTAACTGCTACGTAACTGAAACTAACTCGCTCTTCAGCATGAAATCTTTCCATTTTCCCTGACAGACCCGCAAAACATTCCTCAGGTAACTTGCATTCCCGATGTGTGCCGCGTCGGTTTCATCGTTTTGACCCTCCGGCTTTGACAGAATGACACCGTGGATCCTCACCCACTTCCACCCCAGGCGTCCTCTCAACAACTTCTTCAACAAGCTGTAGCGCAGATCAAGTCAATTGCAGTAAACCCGATGTTCACTACATCATGTGCACGGTGCCAGGCTTCCCTAGAAGTGGCCAAATTTCTTGCTTTTGCGGCTCCTGAACAAGGGACTAATCTCGCTTTGACGCTTTGCGAGTACTTCGATTATTCGTCCTCTTGCGAGAAAAATTATGGACCTCTCGTGTTGGGACCGATCCTTACTCAAGTTGCATCTTTTGCTGATGTCGGAGGATATGACGGACAGGTGGAATCAGTTGCTGAAACGGAAGAATACTGCTCATGATGTTTCCCAGTCGATTTGCTCCGAATTTCTTGGCTTATGTTCAGCACCTATGACAACGACTCTCATCCTCACTGGCTGGTTTGCAAAGCCGAAGCCAAATCCTCTTCCCCCTCCCAAGCAGCCCAGTGGCCAACTGATGAAAGTTCTGCATCTTTCGGACCTGCATATTGATTCCCGTAAGCGGCATTTGCACGCATGCGTTGATTATCTCCACTGATATTCTAATGTTCACTATTGGTGCGTTCTCTCCTTCACTTGCCGCCCCGAATTGAAGTTTGATTGAAAAATATATATAGGTACAGTGTAGCTTGGGGCTCACCTATAGCCAGGGCACAAGGAATTGGCTATGTGCGAGAGCTTGTGTCTCGTCTCACTCAAACACCGATTGAACGCACAATAGTTCCACTAATGCGACACTTCATTACGCTGTCACTTTCCCCCTTGGAGACAGCCTTTATGTGGACGCAACGCATGAAACTGTAGTATTAAATGGTCAGCTCGTTGATGAACCTGAACTTGAAAAGCATCCTAATTTTTGTTCATGGACAGTTCTTGCTGCGTTGAATATTTCGAGCTTTGCGGCGATGGGACAATTGCCGACTATCGGCGGTGTCCTTCACCGCTGTATAGGTTGCGAGTGCGGTGAGGGTCATAGAGACATTTCTTTTGTGCAAGACGGCTAATGTTCTTACATAGATGACTATGATTTGTGTGCAACAGTTTCCTGACTGTCACAGAACTATTGGATGCCCACGCACAACAGGACGACGACAGAGTCCGGCTCTTAGTCCAGTCAGAAGGAGAATCTGACCACACGATTCCTGCAGACAACACAGGTGATTTTGCTAGGTAAGTTTTCGCCTTTGATTTGTATTGTCTACGATTGAGCTTTCGGGCAGTCTACGCAATACTATTCTCCGAGTGCGCATCCATGACTCTGACATATCGCTTTTCCTACACCGTCAATCTAATCGCCCTCTCCCGAATCCCAGAACTTTCAACAGCCCACGCCGCCACCTCGACACGATACGAAATGTCTGTGCTGACCGTGAGATGTTCGCCCTCTCCCTCTCCCTCGCCCTCTCCCTTTTCCTATCCCTTTTCCTCTCCCTCTTTGCCTCCCTCTCCCTCTCCCTCTTTGCCTCCTTCTCCCTCTCCCTCTCCTTAGCGATCTTCCTTGCACGATCGATGCTGCAGAAGCGCTGATACGCCATTCGAAGAGTCAGCGCGTCTGATTGGATGTCACGATGGACTACTCACCTCATCCTGAGGTGCCATCGTAAAAAGTAAGCGTTTTCGATTATAATTTGACGTTTTATATACGACGTAGCAGATGGATGTTATCGACGAGGTCGATTGCCTTTTTCGGCGCAGTGCCTCACGCTTCAAATTCCGCCGAACTCAACCAATGGTTCAAGCGCCCGTCACTCATAAGGCTGTCCTCAACATTCAACCTATGTCCTGTGCGTTTTCTCGTCTTTTGGCCTGCTTATCCCACGTTGATAGTGTGATAGTGCTCTTATCGGACGCTGACGGTGCTACGGCCATCACTTTCTGGCTTGACTACCACGTCAAGGACATCCGGCTGATGTAGTGGCTCTCTGTGGCGGGGCTGTCGACCTTGACCTCCGCAACAAGAATGGCGATACACCACTTCATATCGCTTTAAAGGAGATGGAAGAGGATCAGGATCGTTTTGAAATTGTTCAAGAACTAGTATGTTGTGGCGCAGAGTGCAAACGGTGCGTTCTTCGCGTCTCAGTCAAACGAAGTGCTGAGCGCTCTCCCTAGGGCAATGTCAGGCGGCTCTCCCTAGGGCAATGTCAGGCGGCCTCACACCACTGGAATATGCGCAAAGTCGATATCCTTTAGAAAACGGATCATCGCAAATCCTCCATGCGATGACGAGGATGACGAGGTTGAAATACAGCCAGAACAACTGAGGAAGCAAATGTATGACAGAAATGATTTCGTAGACGGTAAGATATTCGTCGATTCTGCCCTGATGACCACCTTCACGTTCTACTTCCAGATGTCGAAGATGGAAGCGAGGGATCAAGCCTGGAGGCTGAATAGATTATATATGCCGCTAGTACTGTATTGTTCCCGCGCACCTGCTTTTATGCCGCCGTGATATTGTCGTAGCACGTCGTTTATCAAATCATGGTTTCTACTGCACTACATGATATGTTGTGATAAGACTATATCTGAAAATCAAACGAAAAACTTATCCCATCGGAGGAGATCGTGCCCCATCATGCAATATATGTGATGCCTACCGACGTCGTATGTTTGTCTCTGATTTTTTGCATAGGTGAGAAAAAAAACATATCACGCCCGTTCTCATCGTGCCACGCCATAGTGGGTTTTCACTGGGAGTCACATATCTTCCCTTACAGGCTGTGATGCTACAATGCAACATTCGTTTTGCCAACTCTACGCTACCTTAATCTCGAAGATCAATGCTAAAGTTATTTGCTACGATAATGCCTTATATAGCCTTGTAATTCGAGACATGATAAGGGAAAATGTGAACGCTCGACAACCTCGACACAATTACCCTGCTATCCCTTCCAGGTTATGATGGTGTAATGTCACAACGTAGTCATGACTTGTAATGTTCATATATATTTGATGACCAAGGCTAGTGCTGCTTTTCATCATAAAGTCATGAATAGCTTTTTATTGAAAATTGAAATTATGACAAGTGAGCATGGCTAACATAGTGGACCCAAATTCAACACGATCCCCTGTTGGCCGTCATGTTGCTGTGTTGTACCCTTGTCATGAGTGCTTGAAGGTACTCTAAATTTGTAGATGTATATACCTATATATCAATAAGTCAAATTTATCGGCGTATGAATGGTGATATATGGCAGAAACATAATTATTTCTTTCTGTAGTTATCACGGGTACAATATCACGGACTCATGAATTCACTGATGGAAGTGAAGATTCTGGAGATAGATCCACGATATGTGGCGGGCACCAGACTTTCAATAACTTCAAAGGAGACGTGGTGAGCATTTTGTCCGCCCGTACCGCAACGCAAAGATACTTCACCTGTGATTAAAAAGTGAGGCGGGAGCAAAAGATGATGAAGGGGATCGAAAACGAGGGTGGGAAGTGTGATGCGAAAGGAGGCCCCAGGTAAGTTTCATTCTAGGATTGCCGGCGCCTTTTTAGTTGAAGCAGCTCAAATAGATTATCGCCAGTCTCGTCTTGTGCAATCTCTCCATGGCACCAAAGTATTCGTGATAAAGATGGAGGGCTACTCCCTGATAATACAGCTTGACATAATATTGGTATGCTCGTACTTAGATCAATGTTAACTTTTCAGCCGAATACTATACAAAATCTGAAGGAAATATGATGCAGTGATGAAAGTCATGTAATTTGGAAGACCTGCAAGATAATCGATGCGAAAAAAAAGTTCATGCTGAGTACTACTATGGGGTGGCTGCGCGTGCGTCAATGAGCATTTGCATACAGAAGAACTGTAACTTACCGATCAAGCTCTCTCTTGGAAGTCCTCGCTCGTCAAATATCGAGCATTCAATAGCTTCCCGATGTGCGTAGGCAAATACCCCATTCCCTTGCGGCGGATACCAAAAAGTGCTTTCAACATGGGGACAGGCGATTGTTGGAAGGTGTTGAGGGAATCCTCAGCACGAGGCCGATGCTCCAGTTTGATAAATCCATCACTTTGAATCTCAGTGACACCCTGATATTTGAGATCTGCAGTGTAAAGCCCCAAGAGGCGACACAATTTCAGGTACGCGCGCTGTTGAGGAAAGTACAGTTGTCCAGCAAAGACGTTGAGCTGACGGATGAGGGTGTCGTCTGGAATCCATCGCGCAGAAATTGATGGGGTGATGTAAAGACGCAAGTCGTCGCATGATTTCATCATCTTGGTGACGCGAGGTGTATAGATGTGCAAATGAACTTGCTTACTTGCTCGAATGTCAGGTAATAAAATGTTGGCCTCGAAGGGGCTGACAATGACTAGCACCTGCGCGCGGGATGCTGTACTTGAAAGAATCCAGTTGACTGGGCGTGTGTAGTTGTCCGTTTTTTCTTCCGTCAGAACGGTTGTGGTAAAATCCCTCGAGGCAAACACGTCCCGTGACCACGGCTGGCGCCCTGAGGAAGCAGCAGAAGTTGTAGCGAGGGTGTCGAAAACAGCAGTGAACACATGAGATCCATCCGGAATGGTGCCTGTTCGGATGAAGGACCTGACGTCCTCGTCAATGCTATGGGTAGCAGCCGACACTGGTGGTGGTCTCTCCACCTCGCTCTCGCGCTCAACCTCATGTAGCACTTCTCTCTCTTGCTCTTCGTCTAAGCGGTCGTCAGGCGAAATGCCTAGCAACCCGAGGATCCTGCATCTCTCCAGAAGATCTTCGTCTAGCGACGCCTGTGAAGTAGATGCGTCCGTAAGAGCTGGAGCGTATAGCTCTTCTAATTTCTTGGCCTCTGGCTGTAGCCACGAACGGGCGAGTTCGGCGGGTTCAATATTTTCGGATAAGAACGATGACCATGCACTGTGGCGAGATTGGAAATCTGCTCCATGCTGAAGCCATTGTGAAGCGCGATGTTCGATGTCTGAGCACGTTTCAGTCATCGCCCACACGAGGATATCCGACACATGAACATTTCCATTGCTCTTGTTATTCACGGCTCGTATGCTGCGATCTATGTCTGGAGGTGCGAAGAACATGACTGAGTGACCGTGGCCAAGCTTTCTCATACGCATGCAACCTGGTAATATGTTATTGAACGCCATGATGAACAGATACATTGGGTCCTCACCTTGGACAAGGCGATCCTTGGTGACCTTTGGCCCTAATGTGACAGCTGCACGAAATCCCCTAGGCAACTTCACGTCTGTTCCTCTGGTGTGTTCATCGTCCAGATACAATACACATTGATCCACTTGCTGAGCAAAGGAAGATGCGGAGAATAGTTCTACAACATGATCCCGAGTGCGCACCACAAGCTCATCGTGCCTGTTGAAATAGATTGCCGCTTGGGCATCTTGATTAATCTCCAGCCATATCTTCGCCACCTCGTCATTCTGCAGGTCAAGTACTTGCGCACCCACGTCGAGCAAGACACGTATTTCAGGCGACTTCTTCGTGATGACATTAAGAAGTTCTCTAGCGCTTCCACCAGAAGCTAGCGGATCGTAATGATCATTCTCTTGCTGCAAAAGGTAACTCAGGACTCTGGCGTTTGTACCGCGCTGGTGGTCTAGTGAATGCTGCGCCATGGTGGCGGGTAGCAAGTAGCGAAAGTCGTTTGTTCCACTGAAGCCTGTGGTAGGCAACCCGGAAAACTTTCGCTCCGCGAGATCCCAGGCAGAGCAAGATAACTTGTGTGGAAACTCCTTGGCTTCCTTTGGAAAGACGAGCTGAGCCAAAAAGAAGTCTATGACGGCCTTGTTCCGCCCGAAGAGAGGTACCAAACAACTGGTGAACTGTTCAGTAGACTCCGCATTGATTCCACTGAGGGTTTTCAGGTTGTCTGGAAGCGAATCTGAAGACAACCCCTTTATCCACGTCTCATATTCCAATGCGGGATTGTCTTGCTTGAGTAGCTGGCGGAAGCAGGAGGCGACCTGTTTCTCACTGAGGCCTTCGTAGTAGTATGAAAGACATGTGAGTGCGACTGCAATATCTGGATGTCCAAATTCTGCCCGAGATGAGGGAACATCCTTGGCACGGTAAGGCACGGCAAGCATTGTGCGTTGAGGATCCAGGCCGTAATCTACGCGCCATCGCCGGTCCTTCAGCGTGTATATCAGTATACCGTGTGCGAGGAGTCCTCGAATGAGCAGTAGTCCATTCCACAGACTGGACCCAGCGCAATAGTTCCGGACATTGTGAAGAAGCTGTGGGCCAATAGTCGAGAGGGTAAGATACTCACGGATGGAGTCTTTCATATGACGTGGCACATGTCCGAATGCAAAATTTGGAAGGTTACTGTCAAGAATGTCGTCACAAACCAGTTTGATCAATCTTTCGGCTGCGCAAGTGTCCAGGACTCTGAGTGGGAAGGTTCCGATAACACCTGGCTGGAACTCTACTCCAAAAGGAAATTCTTGGTGAAGGGGGCGAGCGTGTTTTGCCACAAGGGTCATCACCTGTTGTGTTGTGGTCCATCGATCAGGATAACCTTCCAAGTGTTGTTGGTCGCCCATAGTGTAGACGAGTTGGAAGCGGACATGCAGCAGTTCATCACTCTCGTCCAGTATGTCACGAGTGTGCTTATCAAGCCACCGCTGAGTATTCAGCAGGGGCACGGCCAGCTCTGCTGAGGATTGCCCAACCGCATTTGTGGGCGCCGGAAGCTGTTGCTCCACAGTCATCAACTTGAAAGAGAGGATATGGTCTGGTTGGGTGACAAGGATACCGCCAATGGCTCTGCACTCTTCAAATAGTGACTGGATGATGCTTGCATGATTAGAAGTAATGTGCAACGAACGCGAGAATGGCAGGTAGAAAATTCGCCTGTTGGTGAGGCCGCCGATCCGTTCCACGAGCAACTGGAACATCTGAACGACCAAAGGCTTTAGCACAACGACCCGTACAAGATTGCTGCAATCTGCCAGTGCAGCACAACAAACAGGTACGATCACGGAGGATTTTCCTTCCCCCATATGAAGCTGCAGGGCGGTATTGTTGCCTGAGCTTGGGGAAATCATCTCCATCGCAACGCTAGCTTGAATGGGACGGATAAGAAATCGATTCTCTGCCTAGTACCGTTAGTGATCAATTATATCAATCGTTATCAACCATCGAATACCTGGATTAGAAGCCAGTCCAGATATGTCTGTGTATCATCCACTCCTAGGTGACCGTCGTTCATCAGCTCCTTCAGAAATTCTCCATCGTCCCCACCAGCTGCCAGCTTTAACTTCAGAAGTCGTTGTGATCTTTGTAGTCGAAGAAGAATATGGACGAAGCTGGTCAAAGGAGCTTTCCATGAGTCACAGAGAGGTGTTTTTGACGTAGAGGCGAGGAGACCGAGAAGAAATGTAATGGTAATGCGCGGCCATTGCCCAGAATTGAATA